TCATATGTCTACTCCTCTCCACCACCACCATCATACTCTCCTTCTCCAATGGCCGAATACAAATCTCCTCCCCCACCTTCATACTATTAAAAAAATTTTATATAACTCATAAATAAGATACCAGTTCTCATATGATGTCCTATCTTTCTTATTCTTCTTGTGCCTAGTCCGTTTTAATCATTCAAGGTTTGGATGAATTCTTTGGCTATTGAAATATCATTTAAATTAATGTGTTTTTTCTTTTTTGATATGGGCAAGGGTTGCCTTTAATCCATTTATGTAAGTCTGTTGCAATTCTATATTTTGTGTTCTCAACATGGATATCTATGATATCCTCTGCCATTATTATAAGATATGTATTGCGTATAATAATTTCACAGATTAATAAAGCTACTTCAAATTTGTTAATTAACCGTGATATCTTTATAATAGTTATGTGTTTTCTACAACTTTCAGTTAACAGATAAGAATTTAGATAATCGAATACTATCTTTGTTTTAGCAAAATAAGGTCTTGATATATTAAAAAAGTTTGAAAACTCGTACAAGCAAACAGACCTAAACTTAATACAAAAAAAAAAGCAAATAGACATGACTACCTTCAACTTATAGAACATGCAAAACCACAACTAAATGTTTCAACTAAAGTATATCTGGCCCTTTACAAAATTGCATTTATTAAATATTAGTTGTACCTGCGATTTGACATAGAAACACTGACCATGTAATCAACTATTGAGCAAAAGTGTATTCATGCTATTAGAGATTCATTTGTTCCACTAGGCTCAAAATCTTTGATCCTTATGACTCCCACAAATAAGCTACAAGGACATGGTGGTTGTGGAGAAACTTCATGGGATGATGGTGTTTTCTACTCTATAAGAAAAGAAAGTAGGACAAACCCAAAATAATATACGAGTGCGCAAGTTTGTGAAAATAGATGTTTTGTTTTATATTAGGGTTCGTTTCCTCTTGGCAACAGCACCTTATTATATAGGATCCGATTGGTGACTCCGTCTAAACAAAGCGGTTAAAAAATTTTGAGTGGTTGTAGCTGAGGTAATTAGAAAAAGGCGATTAGAGATAGCGGTTGGAAAAGATGGTTTTATAACAGAAAACGGTTGAAAATTTAGCTTGATTGATAGCATTACACCGGTTGAATGGTGTAAAAATATAAAATTATCTGATTCTTTTGTCAACTAACAAAAATACATGCAAAGCTATTATTATTTTTTTTGCAGGGAAGAAGCATATAACAATTTAGATTTTCATTTTTTAAACAAAAAAAATCTATTATGATAAAGTTTTTTGATAAATTTGAAATGCATAACCGTTTTTTTTTGTCTTTTATCCTTGGACATGAATACAAGCACTAATTTTTTTAAAAAAATTAAACATAACAAATTTTAGGTTTTTTTAAAATATCAGTGATGATAAGTCTTTTTAATAATTATAAAATGCATAATTATTGTTTCATAATTTTTTTTTTTGTTTTATCGAGTGAATTGTATTGAATGAAATAACAAAAAAAACAACACACATATACATAAAAAACAAATAATTTTATTAGTTTATTATTAAAATTAATATCAAACCATAAATTTTATTATTAAAAAAAAATTCAGGCTACAACCGCTCGTTTGCTCCAAATGCCCATTTTTTCACAGTTTGGAACCGTCCGAAAATTGACCTCCAACCGCCCGAATCTTCTTTCAACCGTCCGTTTCGCTGATTACAACCATGGTTTTAAACGCTTTCTCTAACCGACGTTGCTGATTGGTAACATTTTTTCAACCGTCCATGCCAACCGCCCGTAAAATGCAACCAATCAGACCCATAATTTTTTTTTTCTCTCTCTCCTTTGCTCTTTTAAATATGTGTTCTAGATAATAGTTTTTATTTTGTAAGATATAATATCATATACAAAAATAAAACTATAAGGACAAATAATATGATTCAGAGACATTTATAATTTATAAAAGCTTAAAAAAAAATGAATGAAACGTTCAAAGAAGATATATTTAGATAGCCAGAATTCGAAATTCCTTGATTTTATTTAAAAATTTACATATTCTGTATTTGTTATTATTCAATAGTAGTTAAATTCTATATATTAAAAAAATCCTAGTCAAATTATTATGTGTGGCGTTTACAAGCCATAGTTTCGCTGACTTTTCAAGACAAGAATTTCGTCGGAGTATTTTCTATCGGAGAAGATGTCTTTTCTAAAATTATTGGTAATCATGTGAATTATATAGTTCTGCTATGCATCTATCAGTCAACGAATGCCTGCAACTTTATGTAGTATGATAAACTCGATGATGAATGAAATCTAGTTACAAGAACATTCATCTGTTCATCCTAAAAGTTACCGGACAATGTTAGTATCAATCAAAGAAGTAATCGAGAACAACGTTAGTAAGTTGGTTTCAATCATAGAGAACCACTGGGAATTTAGAAATAGGAGCATCGAATATCTGAAACTGGTTACAGGTAAAAAAATTTCCACTAGTACTCTCCCACCAAAAAGAATAATAAAAAACAAAAGAAGAACAAGAAAACAAATTAATTAGGTCGTTGACAAAATAATTGAACAATGATATGCATCTTTCTTCACGAACTTGAGAATAGAAAAAAAGAAAGTTGGTCGTTGACATTTGATGCACGTTCTTGCACGTTTTGCGGTAGTTTGGCACATACAAGCTTCCACGATTAAAGAAGCAAGCAAAACAAATAGAAGGGAAGACAAATGGTAAAACCATAAGCTATATATAAAGGCATGCACAAGTAATGTATAATCAGAAAACAAAACAAAAAAAGAAGAAGAACAAAACCAACGCATTAAGGCGTTGAAGCAGCAATCAAAATACAAATGACATCTTCTCCCGGGATGGGGCGTTCAGCCCATCTCGTTTATGCTCTTGGTTTTGTTATCATGGCAACAATGGTTGCTGCTTCTTATGAGCCCTACACGTATAGCTCTCCACCACCACCAGTATACAGCTCTCCTGCACCAAAGGTTGATTACATGTCTCCACCACCTCCTTATGTATACAGTTCTCCACCACCTCCACCTTATTATTCGCCATCTCCTAAGGTAGACTATAAGTCTCCACCACCCCCATACGTTTACAGTTCTCCACCACCACCGTACTATTCACCTTCTCCAAAGGTGGACTACAAATCTCCACCACCTCCTTATGTCTACAGTTCCCCACCACCACCTCCTTACGTCTACAACTCTCCACCACCACCACCATACTACTCACCTTCTCCAAAGGTGGACTACAAATCTCCACCACCCCCTTATGTTTACAGCTCCCCACCACCACCCCCATACGTCTACAATTCTCCACCACCACCGCCATACTACTCACCTTCTCCCAAGGTAGACTATAAGTCTCCACCACCTCCTTACGTCTACAGTTCTCCACCACCACCATACTATTCACCTTCTCCAAAGCCCGCATACAAGTCTCCACCACCTCCATACGTTTATAATTCTCCACCACCACCATACTACTCACCTTCCCCTAAGGTTGAATACAAATCTCCACCACCTCCTTACGTCTACAGCTCAACCCCACCACCATACTACTCACCTTCCATTTTCCCCCAAAAGTTTTAAA